TTCCTATAGATTTTTGATGGAGACTTTAGGGTTTTTTATGTATAGTGTCAAGTCATCTGCAAACAGTACAGTTTTACTTCTTTCTACCACTTTGGACATGATTTATTTCTTTTTCTTGTCTGATTGCTGTGGCTGGGACTCCCAACACTATGCTGAATAAAAGTGGCAAGAGTGAATATCCTTGTCTTGTTTCTTAGGGGAAAAGCTGTGAGGTTTTTTTTTTTTTTTTTACCATTGAGTATGATGTTAATTGTGGGTTTGTCTTATATGGCCCTTTTAATGTTGAGGTATGTTCTCTCTAGAACTATGTTGAGATTTTTATCATGAAACAGATGTTAAATTTTGTAAAATTTCTGTATCTATTACGATGATCATATAATCTCAATCCCTCTTTTTTAATGTGGTGTATCATGCTTATTGATTTGCAAATATTGAACCATAATTGCATCCTCAGAATAAATCTCACTTGACCATGGGGGATGATCCTTTTGACATATTGTAGAATGTGGTTTGCTAATGTTTGTTGAGGATTTGGCATATGTATACATCAGGGATATTGGTCTGTGGTTTTCTTGTTTTGTAGTGTCTTTGGTTTTGGTATTACGGTAAGCTGGCCTCATACAATATATTTGGAAGTGTTCCCTCTTCTTTTGTATTTTGGAATAGCTTGGGGAATATAGCAATTCTTTAAATGGTTGGTAGACTTTGGCTGTGAACCCATCTGGTTTTGGACTTTTATGTTTTGGTATTTTTTTCATTACCAATACTATTTTGTTACTAGTAATTGATCTGTTCAGATTTTTTATTTCTTCCTTATTCCATTTTGAAAGACTGTATATTTCTAGGATTTTGTTCATTTCTTCTAGGTTGTCTGATTTTTTGGCCTGTAACTTTTCACAGTATTCTTATAATGCTTTGTATTTCTGTGGTGTCAGTTGCTCCTTTTCCTCTCTCATTTCCAATTTTATTTATTTGGATCCTTTTACTTTTTTCTTAAGGAGTCTAAGGATTTGTCAATTTTATCTTTTCAAAGAACCAGTTCTTGGTTAAATTGATTTTTTCCTGTTTTTTAAAATCTCTGTTATTTATATCTACTCTTATCTTTATTATCCTTCCTTCTCTCACCTTGGGCTTTGTTTTCTTCTTCTAGTTCATTTAGGTGTGGAGCTAGATTGTTTATTTGAACTTTTTGTTTCTTAAGGTTGGCTTGCTTTGCTATGTATTTTTCTTTTAGAGCTGCTTGCACTGCCTCCCAAAGATTGTGGACTATTGTGTTTTCATTTTCATAAGCATCCATATACTGACGTATGTGGGTTCCATATACATGTTTTTTCTTCTTTTAAGAATCTTTCCTTATCTTTAACTTTTGGCACTTTAATTATAATGTGTCTCAGTGTGCCTCTCTTTGGATTCCTTTTTGGAACTCTCTGGGATTTCCAAATCTGAATGTCTGTTTTCTTTCCCAGGTTAGGGAAATTTTCAGTCATCATTTTGTCAAAAAGTTTTTCTGCCCCTTTCTCTCTTCTCTGGGACCTCTATAATACGAATCTTGGTTTGGTTGATGTTGTTCTGTAAGTCCCTAAAGCTATCTTAACTCCTTTTCATTCTTTTTGCTGCCTTTGCTGGATGAGTTTTACTGCTGATTTTGATCCTTTCTTCTCCCACCTAGTGTGCTGTTGAACCCCTCTACTGTACTTTTTAGTTGTTATTGTATTTCTTCTGCTCTGTGACTTCTGTTTGCTACTTTCTTACATTTTCTATCTCCTTGTTGAAATTTTTAATTTTTTGTCCATTCTCTTCCTGAGCTATCTGTATGGCCATTATTTTGAACTCTATCAGAAGAAAATCCCTTATCACCATTTCCTGAGGGTTTAACTCTCTTCCTGAGGGTTTACTTGTTCTGTCATTGGGAACATATTCTTCTGTTCCTTCATTTTCCTTGACTCTGTAAACTTCACCCCTCCCAATCTTGAAGGATGGGTCTTGTGTAGATGAAACCTACTGTTCAGCCCTGCTCTAGCTCAATTGTCTCTCAAACCTTTTTGACTTTCCAAGCAGTCCATTTTGTTTTTAATGGTTCCCAGTAGTTGCAGGGACTCTAAGACCTGTCAGTGTCCCAAATGGGGGGATCTTAGCAGCACTTAGATTTAGGCTAATTGGGAACCAGACCCTCAGGCAGCAGCTCTTAAAATATGTAAATTTACCTCTTTCTGAAGAAGGCTGGGAGAGGAGGATTTCTATCTACTCCCTCTGTGCTGACCCTGGGGTGACAGCTGGGTAAGAACTTTTCTTCGCTACAGTCTTGTTGAACCTGTAAACACAAGCCTCGTGGCCACCAATGCCAGGCTATAAATGAATGTCTTTGGGGCAGCAGTCACAAAAGCCTGGCCACCGGATGTGTACACACGATTCTTTTTCAGATACCCACAATTTGGAGCAAGGGAAGGTAGAGTGCCTAAGTGGCAACCACAGGTCTCCATTCCCAGAAAGCACCTAAGTAGGCCCCTAGATGTGCACCAAACCAGAAGCCTGTCCCTCTTTCACAGAAAGGCTGTGGCATGTGTTCAGAATGCCGTCTCTGTGCTGGGGTTGGGTGGTAGCCAGCTAAGATCACTTTCTCCATTTGTTACAGCCCTGTGGGACCCAGGAACGCAAGTCCCACTGGCCATCTGAGCCAGGCAATCAAGGGGCTTCCCTGGGTCACACCACAAAAACCAGGACAGCAGACCTATGCACAAGCTCCTCTCTGGGAGACACCAGTAGCCTAGAGTGCAGCAGTAGAAAAGCCTTATTAACAGTGTTCCCCCAAACTCTGCAAAGGATTACAGTTGGCCCTTAAATGCGTTTAGTTAGAAGCCTGCCCCCTAGGCCACAGCTATGAAGATAAGTTAATAGGCTACTTTCTCGGAAAGACTAGGTAGGTACTGTCTATTGCCTCACTGCTATGTGGTAGCCAGTTAATAACTTGGGTTAGATCTGTAACAATCCTGTAGGGCCCACGATATGTCCCACTGGCCACCACAGCCAAGCAATGAGGTGTCCTCTGAGCAGCAGCCACAAATGTTGGGGTGCCAGATGAGTGTACAAATGCCTTCCTAGGAGATACCAGTGAGCTGGGGAAAGGCACAAAGATGGTACCCACTGGCTCCATTTTGGGGGTATTTCAGTAGGCCCCTAGATGTGTTTAAATTAGGCCAATGCTTTGAGATAATCAAGGAAAGCTCTATTGTATAAGGTCTGGATGCTTTTTAGTTGCCTCTACAGTGGGCCCTGGGATGGAGTCCATCTGACCACTATGGGGGTCTTGTGAATGAAAGCCCCATTGCCTTTCAAAGCTAGACATTTTGGGGGCTTGTCTCTCTGGTGCAGCTCTTAAAAGTCAGGTGCAGGATGTGGGGTTCAAGTTCTTCACTCCTCAGGGAAAGGCTCAGGGTTATGAGTTCCCTTCTGATTGTGGGTCTCCACCCTGAGGATGGAGTTTATTTCAGCCTCTCCTATTTGTTTCATTGTGGATTTTTTTTGTTTTGTTTTGGTCCAATGTGTAGGAGTCACTCAGCTATTTTTGTTTTTAGGTCCCCTCCTTCACCCAAGAAAATTGTTCTGCACGTAGCTGTAGATCTGGTGCATCTATGGTAGGAGGTTGAGTTCAGGATCCACCTTTTATTACCATCTTGAAGTGGAGACCACACACCTTTTAAAATAAAAAGTTGAGGTTCAGTTGCTGGCTTTTCTTTCTGAGACACAAAAGCATCACTCATCGCATGGATAACATATACCCTAATCTTTACGCACCTGGACAGTAACAAATAATGTGGGAAATTCGGCCAATGGCACAAAATTGCAAATTCATAAACATAAGCCATAAAATCCTAACATAGGCATGGGGTAGGATGAGGAAGATAACATGTGTTTACAGAACAGAATGAAGAGAAGTGACATGTTAGATTTTTCAGCATATGGTTATGAGTAGGGTATAGTTATCAATTTTTGTGAAAAATTAATCGTCAGTTGATACAACCTTCTATGAAATGGTGAGGACAGCTGCCAAACAAATCCAACAAGTGACTCAGTGGTCTATGTTAACACTCATTTATTCTGGACTGCAGACATACTCTTGCCATCTCTCTATTACCAGCAGCTGGAGTCCAGCTGTGAGGTTATGGGAAATGTCCAAGCTTGACCCATCAGTTATGAGGCAACACACTTTCAACTGTATTAGCAAATAATTTACAGAATAGCAGATGTTTTCAGGAGTATTGGTTTCATTGAGACTTTAATTATGGTTCCAGAGTTGTTGTTTTTTAAAATTATTTATTTGACAGAGAGAGAGATCACAAGTAGGCAGAGAGGCAGGCAGAGAGAAGGGGAAAGCAGGCTCCCCGCTGAGCAGGGAGCCCGATGTGGGGCTCGATCCCAGGACCCTGAGACCATGACCCGAGCTAAAGGCAGAGGCCTAACCCACCGAGCAACCCAGGTGCCCTGGTCCCAGAGTTTTTATGGAAACTCAGTAAGATTTGCTTTAAAGAACTTTAAGTGCATATGATTAGCAATACATAGAATGTTTGGATTTAAAAAAAAATTGAGACCTAACAGTACGTTCCCACTGGGGACATCAAGCTCTGAATATTGTGATTCAATGTTCAGAGGAATAGTTCTGAAATTTTCTTCAATAATGTTAACAAAAAGACACTCAGACCTGAAAAGCAACAAATTTGATTATATGGCAAATTTAAGTACACAGTTTTCATTTTGTAAATGAGTAACTTGTGAAACATTCCTAAAGTTGGTGGACAAAACCAGAAAACCATTTTTTTTGTGTTCCACAGTCCTGGGAAACAGGATTAGAAATTCTAAGACTTTAAATGTTTGTGCTACAGCAAATATTATCTACGATATTTAGGAGTCATTTTTTTAAAGGATATTTATTCTCCCGGGTCATTAAAGAATTTTTCTACTTTATTTAAAATATCTACCAATTGAAAAAGGAAACAGACATTAGGAAAATTCTGGTTACATTCCTCCCTGCCTCCTGCCCCCTGCCTGCCATTTTCTCATACACACTTTCAAAGTCATCTGAAAATAAGATCATTTTCTTTGCTGGGTCTGTTATCTGATATAAATTAAGGAGACTGTGAATGAACAGAAATTTTACATCGGTACCATTGTTACCTTTAGAGGATACAAAATTATTGACACAGGTAACACAGGATTACAATTTTAACAAAAAAAACTGTGAGAGCCAATGGAAAAAAATTTTTTTGATTGGTTTCCTTTATTATGACCACTGTCTGCCCACAAATTCTACAGCTTGGATTCCTTTTCAAATCCTTCGAAGAGTCTGCTTCATGAGTTACATATATACACACAGAATAAAAACAAATATTCTAATTTAAAAAAATGAAGTAATTTTAAATTTATAGACTAGACAGTTCAATGTAGTCAAAGGGTATAGCTCTGAATAAGATGATGGTAATGGATTTTAAAGCTCAGATGACAAAGGTCTGTTAACTCCGGGTTTGTTTCAAGTATTACAGAGCTGTATTTGAAGTATATGCCTCAACTTCTGTTGCCTTATTGAGCAGTAAAATATTTGAAGTATGAAACGTAATTTTGATGACAAATGCTTCAGAACATCAGGAATAAGATCAATAAAGAGCAAAGTGAATCTAGAACAAGGAAAGGAAAGGTACATTTATTAAAAGTAAAAATAGCAGGCAGTCTCTGACAACAAACAAAACCAAGAATCCAAACACGTCTAATATACATTGTAACAATGCACATATATTTAAAAAAAAAAAAGACCCATTAGTAATTTTTGTTTTTTTTTTAAGAACTTTAGAAAGGAAAAAAGTACTTCAGCTCCCTCCTGCTGGAGGTATGCCCACAAACACAGCATGCGCGACCAGCATCCTCTTTCAAGAGTTCTGTACAGCACAAAATTGCAGTGTGTGCATTCATTATGTGAACACACTGATTCTGAATAAAATCGGTTTCTGTAAGGATGATCCAAAACATAAGTCAGCAGGTCCATTTCATAAAAAATATTCAGAGGCTGCAAGAACAGTGGCAACCATTTTCCAAAATCTTCAGTTTTAACAAAAGGTAGAGAATAACTGCTAAATCTAGATGTTTGCACATTATTTTGCATGAGTATCAAGTACTGTGTAAAAATTTATGTAAAATCTTAAGTTAGCCAAAACTAGTGTCTTTAAACTTTAGATCAAAGTTATTCTTCCCCCTTTTACCGTGGCTGATAAATCTTTTCTGCCTTTGTCCTGAATGATGTCTGTGAAACCAAAGAACTCCGAAAAAAGAGGCAATCCTGAAGGAACACAGTACCAAAAATGTCACTGGAATTCGGTCTTAAGACACACACAGTTCCTGCTGGACGTTGGACTGTGGGAGTTTATTATCCTCCGCCTTCTCATGTCCTGGGGCAAGACAGGTGGTCTTCTTTTTAAACAGCCGAAGGCTCAATCGCAGCAAGTCACTGTCTACCACTGGAGCGCCCGTGTACGCTTGTTTTACAGTGCCCTAATTCGAAGAAAACAAAAACAGATTTTAAAAGATGGATATTATTAGTTAACAGTAGGAACGACAGGGTAACCTCTAACAAAAATGTCAGAGTGGCAAGAAAAATTAATTTGGGATGGATATTTAAAAGCAAAATTGAGATGTTTTCAGATTCAAGGAATCTTAGAGAAGAAAGCGATCTTTGAAAGGACACCTCTTGCTGATAAAGTAGGATCTTTAGCAATCCCTGACAGGTAATCAACTACCTTTTATTTCCAATGACAAAGCAAACAACAGTCACTGCACATTCCTGAGCATGTTGAAATAAAACCTCTTCTTTAGAACTGCACACTAATTCAATCTTACTCTTGCAGGACAACCTTTCAGTCTGAAAGAGAAGCACTGAAGAGAAGCACTGAACACTCCACATTCCTTACTGGTCTGTTACTGTCCCATGAAACACAGGCTCCGGAAGTGAACAAATTCCCTAGGAGACAGCTGATCACTGCAGTATACCGAGAAACTACCACCTCCCTTCTGCTAAAATGTGTATCTCTATTACTATAAGTTAAAGCTACGTTAGCGTTTTTGGAAGTTGCGGTCCTACAATTTTATTAAATGTTCTCCAACTATGTTCATAAATGAAATAAGGTGAGTTTTGACTGTCTCTAGCATTCTGCCATTTCTCTTCTTTCTAGGATCCTTAAAGGATCAGTGCTTCCTTGATCACATGTTGTGATACAGTAAATTGACCTTTTACATGTAGTTCTGTGAGTTTAGACTTAGGTACTGAGTCACGTAACCAGGATTACAATCAGAGAAGTTTCATTGTTCCGAAAACTCCCTTTGCTGTCCCTTTGTTCTCACACCCTCTGGCCAACTCTAACCCTTGGCAACCAATCACAGGGTACCTCTGATCATTCTGCCTCCCCAGAACGTCAAATAAATGGGAATTATATACTGCATGATTTCTGAGACCTGCTCTTGACATTAATCCGTGTCGTTGACAGTACTGGCACTCTGGTTATTTTTTATTACGAAGTAGTAATCCATTATATGGATGTGCCCCAGTTTACCAATTAGCTGTGTATAGAACACTGGGGTGGTTTTCAGTTGTTGGAGATTGTGAAAAGACCTGCTATAAGCTCTTGTGGACAGCTTTTTATATGAACCGAAGTTTTCATTTTTCTAAGGTAAATACCTAGCAATGGGATTACTGGGTCCTATAGTGAGTATATATTTAACTTTATAAGAAAAACCAAACCATTTTCCAAAATGTCTGGCACCACTTCGTATTTTCACCAGCAATAAATGGCAGTTTCAACCGCTCGCAGCCTCACCACAGGGGTTTTTGGTGTTTGGTTTTTAGCTATTATAATAGATTCACAATGGTATCTAATTTAAGTTTTAATCTGCATTCTCTAATGGTTAATGCTCTTTAACATCTTTTCATGTGCTTAACCATATGTATCCATTTATCCTCTTTGGTGAATTGTCCATTCAAGTCTTGCCCATTTAAAAAAAATTGGATTGCCTGTTTTCTGTTAATTTTTGAGAGTTCTTTGTATACTCTAGATACAAGTTCTTTTTAAAAAATTATTTTGTGTATTCTTGTTGCTTGACTTTCCATGCAGACTTTAGAATCAATTTGTCTGCATCTACAGAACCAACCAACTGACCAACCCTGCTGGGATTTTGCTGCATTGTGTTAAATCTGTAGATCCATTTGGGGAGTCTCCTAATCTTAAGTATATTGAATCTTTCAATCCATGAACATGATCTATGTCTCCATTATTTAGGTCATCTTTTTTTGGATCAGTGTTTTATAGTTCTTGGCACACAGATCCTGTACATGTTTTGTTAGATTTATACCTAAGTACTTTTTTGGGGGGAGCCATTGTAAAAAATATTTTTTCCCCTTCACTTCAATTCCCAGGTACTTCTATATACTATTAGTATATGGAAATACAGTTGCTCTTTGCCTGCTTTGTAACCTGTGACCTTGCTAAACTTTTAAGTTCTAAGAGTATTTGTGGTAAATTCCTTGAAACTTACATGTAGACAATCATGTTGTCTGTGAATAAATAGTTTTACTTCTTTCCTTCCAATTTATAGGACTTTTATTTTCTTCTGTTACTGAACTGGCTAGAACTTCCAGTAAAATGTAGAGTGGGGTAGTGAGAATAGGCATCCTTGCCTTGTTCCTGATCTCTTCGGGAAATCTCTCAAACTTTTACCATTAAGTATGATGTTAGCTGTAGGTTTTTTTTTTTTTTTTTTTTTTAAGATTTTATTTATTTATTTGACAGAGAGAAAGAGAGATCACAAGTAGGCAGAGAGGCAGGCAGAGAGAGAGAGGGAAGCAGACTCCCCGTTCAGCAGAGAGCCCGATGTGGGGCTCGACCCCAGGACCCTGAGATCATGACCTGAGCTGAAGGCAGAGGCTTAACCCACTGAGCCACCCAGGCGCCCCAGCTGTAGGTTTTTGTAGATACCCTTTAAAAAGTAAAAGACTGAGAATTCTTATTATAAAGGAATGCTAAATTTTATTAAATGTTTTTTCTGCAGCAATTGATATGTATTTTTTTCTTTTTGGTCTGTTACTATGTAGATTACATTGAATGATTTTAAAATATTAAGCCAGCCTTTAATTCAGATGATATATGGTACTTGGTTGTGGTGTAGTCTTTTTTACATATTGCTGGCTTTGATTTCCAATTTTTGAGGATTTTTTATGTCTATGTTCATGAGAGATACTGATCTGTAGTTTTCTTGATATCCAAGTACTGCTGGCCTCATACAATGAGGTGGGAAGTACTCCTGCCTCTTCAATTTTCTGGAAGAAATTATGTAGAAAAGGTATTATTTCTAACTTAAAGGTTTGGTAGATTTTCAGGTGAAACCATCTGAGAGTGGAGAATTCTTTTCCAAAAATAAAAAACAAAACCAAGTAAAACAGACATAGGACTATTCAGATTTTCTATTACTTCTTGAGGAAGTTTTGGTGCCTGTGGCTTTTACAGCAATTGATCCATTTCTTCTAAATTGTCAAACTTACGTGCATAGATACAATATTATCCTTTCAATAGGATAATATCTGTGAGACTTGTAGGGCATTACCAATATTTTTCATTTCTTCAGAACCAAATTTTGGGTTCACTACTTCTGTTTTCCTATTTATTTTTGGTATTCTTTCTTTCCTTTTGCCTCCTACAGGTTCTATACATTCTTTCAACAAATCTGAGTTAAACTCATTTAGAGCAGCTAAGTGTTCTCTTTGTATCCTTCACCTATCTCTTCTGATGTATAATGTTATTTATATATTTAAAAAATTTTTTATTTAAAGATAATGCCAATATATGAGTTTGCTACCTTTACACATTTTTTCATTATCCAGTAAGTAGTACCACTTTCCTCAATGAATGGTCCTATTCTGTACTTTTCTTTTATAGTTATACATTTTAAAGGTTTTTGTTTATATTTCTTACCATTTGTCATGAGATTGTCTAACGTCTGAAATTTTTTCTTCAGTTGTCTCTTCAGCTTTTGAGCAAGTATTTTTAACCCTGAGCAATCAGAAAGCTCTAATGCTTTCTTTAGATGGATCATTTAAACATTTATACTGTCCCACTGTAACTTTTTATAATGTGTCATGTGCTAGTTAATGGTCTGTGCCCTGCAGTAAAGGATTACAAGGTTCTGACAACAGAATTCTGAGAACAGAATTCTCAAGGAGAATTTTACAAGGGTATTTTTAGTTGTCACAACTTTTGAAAAGCATATGGCATATCAGAGGAGGAACCACGGAATGCTACAAAATTTTTATAAAAAGGGGGCAGGACTCTGGTGAGACTTCAAGATGTGCAGCCTTTCTCCACTGAAGCCTCCTCCTTGAGCCAACAGAACATGATGTGACGGATTATTTTTCAAATTCGGTACTGAGGATGGAATACCACTCTGAATACGTAAAAGGGAAGGTGATTCATTACACACATGCTTATTAGGGCTCCCTGGGGTTTAATTCCCTGGGAAAAACTTCCAACTGAGAAAAGCTGCAAGGAGGACTAGGCACCTAAGCAACTGAAAGATGGGAACTAAGAAAGTAGTGTAGAAGTATATAAAACGGGAGTGCAAAGAATGACTGTAGCAACTCTATAAAAAGTAGTTCTGAGCCAGGACTTTAATCAGGAAAGACCTTAAAAACCTCCTATGCACTGTATCTGTTTCTACTTTAATCTTTTGAATTCATCCCTTGCTTTTCCATGAATTTTTCTTTAATGAAGTACACTTTCTGCTAGCAGTGTTTTCTTAAATGTCCCCAGGTAAAAAGCTAGTATTTCTCTAATCTTTTAAGACCAACTCTCTTAGGCTTTTTAAAGTTAAGACTTTTTCAGTTTCTCAACGGAATTTTTCAATTAATTTTTCAATTTTTCAATTAATCTCAATTAAATGGGATTTTTCTGGGGATGCAAGGATGGTTCTCCCAAATCTAAATTTCTATTTCTCTTATGTTTCAATTCCCTTTACTCTTCTCAAGTAAAAGCTTAAGTATAATCACTTTTATTTTCCTTTCTTCTGACTTGGTACATTCTCATAAATGCTACTTCTTCCTATAAATATCATCATTCTGTGTCTGGAAAATTTTTCCCCCAGATCTTGTTTAGATAATGAAACATACTAGAAATTTACCTTGAGGAACTTCACAAATGAAAATAATTCACAGAAAGAGTATTTTAAACTTTATGCATATAATTTTGAATAACAAATTGCTATGCACAAATGTTCATCAATACTATTAAAGTAAAATGAAAACTATTATAAATAGAATTCTTCCTTTTATATCTATAAAAGACTAGGAAACCGAACTCACAAAAGCAGATAATGAGACCTTAATCTCACTTTAAAGCAATCAAATGGAAAAAAAAAAAGCCATTCATTGATACAATGCATACACTCTGCATTTTTTTTTTTTCAAGGAAACCGTACCTTCTCATTTTTAACAAGCTGCTTCCTGATTGCTGAATCCCGTCTGAAGCATAACGCTTTACAACATGGTCCAAGATTACTAAGGAGACTTGCTCGCTCTTCTTTTCGTAGTAATGCAGCCATGTTGAGAGCCCCCAATTCATGTTCAAAAAGACTGTCTGCATCTTCCAATAAAAACAAATAGGCATTAAGTTTTCCCGAAAATAGGAAAGTGTTACTGGCTGCTTCAATATTCCACACAGTCTGTACTTTATCAGTTGGTGAAAATTACTTTAAAGGCAATATACTTACACATAGTATGCCACAAAACAAGTCTCAATAAATTTAAGAGGACTGAAATCATATCCTGCATCTTTTCAGACAACAGTATAAAACTAGAAATTATAAGGATAAAAAAAACATGTGGAGGCTCAACAACATCCTTAGTTATTGAACCTACTAAAAACAACCAAAGGGTCAACGAAGAAAGAGGAAAACAAAAAATACATCGAGATAATGAAAATAAAAACATAACAGTTCAATATCTTGGGGATACAGCAAAAGCAGTTTTCAGAGGGAAGCTAACAGCAATACAGGCCTACCTCAAGAAAAATCTCAATCTATCCTTAAGCCTAAAGGAACCAGAAAATATAAGAACAAAGCCCAAGGTGAGAAGGAAGGAATAATAAAGATCAGAAGAAATGACAGAGAAAAAAAAAAATCCGTAGAAAAGATCAATGAAACCAAGAGCTGGTTCTCTAAAAAGGAAAATCAAGGAAAAAAGTAAGACACAAATTTAAGAGAAATGAGAAAGAAGTAACAACACCAGAGAAAAACAAAAGATTATAAGAGAGTACTATGAAAAATTATATGTCAACAAACTGGACAACCTAGAAGTGGATAAATTCCTAGAAACATAGTCTTCCAAAACAGAATCAAAAAGAAATAGAATCTGAACAGACTGATTGCTGGTAATCAAAAGCTCCCAACAAAAGTTCAGAAGCAGATGGATTCACAGGTGTTCTATCAAACACTTAAAGAAAGAAAAGCTAATAAATTAATACCCATTCACCTCAAACTATTCCCCCCTAAAATAGGAAGGAAAGCTTCCAAACACATTCTATGAGGCCAGCATTACCCTGACACCAAAACCCAAAGACATCACAAAATAAGAAAACCACAGGCCAATATTTCTGAACATTGATGTAAAAACCCTCAATAAAATATTAAGAAAACACAATCAACAGTGCATTAAAAGGATCATTTACCATGATCAAATGGGATTTTTCTGGGGATGCAAGGATGGTTCAATAAGGATAAAAATCTTGGGCGCCTGAGTGGCTCAGTGGGTTAAGCCTCTGCCTTCGGCTCGGGTCGTGATCTCGGGGTCCTGGGATTGAGCCCCGCATCAGGCTCTCTGCTTAGCAGGGAGCTTGCTTCCTCCTCTCTCTCTCTGCCTGCCTCTCTGCTTACTTGTGATCTCTGTCAAATAAATAAAATCTTTAAAAAAAAAAAAAAAAGGGCATATATGACAAACCCACAGCTAACCTCATACTCAATGGTGAAAAACAGTGTTCCCTCTAAGATCAGGAATAGCACTCTTGACACTTTAATTAAGCATAGTACTAGAAGTCCTAGCCACAGAAATAAAAGGTGTCCAAATTGGTAGGAAGAAGTAAAACTGCCACTGTTTACATATGACATAGCACACAGAAAACCCTAAAGACTCTACCAAAAAATTTCTAGAGGTAACAAATGATTTCAGTAAAATTGAAAGATACAAAATTAATATCCAGAAATCAGCTGCATTTCTATACACTATAACAAAGTTACAGACAAGGAATTAAGAAAAAAATTTCATTTACAATTGCACCAAAACCAAATAACTGGGAATAAACTTAAACAAGGAGGTTAAAGACCTGTACTCTGAAAACTATAAAACACTGAGGAAAGAAACTGAAGATACAAACAAATGCAAACACATACCATGCTTGTGGTTTAGAAGAATAGTGTTAAAATAGTCTACACTACCAAAGCAACCTACAGATTCAATGCAATTTCTATCAAAATACCAATAATGTTCACAAAACTAGAACAAATAATCCTAAAATGTGTATGGAACCACCTAAGAGCCCGAATAGCCAAAGTTATCTTGGGGGGAAAAAGAACAATGCTGGAGGGATCACAATCCCAGATATCAAGATCTACTACAAAGCTATAGATAAATTAATACAGAGAACAAACTCATGGTTGCTGGGGGGGCGGGGGGGAGGTTGGGCAATGAGCAAAATGGGTGAGAGGCAGCTTCCAACTACGGAACAAAGAAACCACAGGGATGAAAGGTACAGCATAGGGGATATACTGAATAGTATTATAATAGCATATGGGGGCACCTGGGTGGCTCAGGGGGTTGAGCCTCTGCCTTTGGCTCAGGTCATGATCCCAGGGTCCTGTGATCGAGTCCCACATCGGGCTCTCTGCTTGGCAGGGAGCCTGCTTCCTCCTCTCTCTCTGTGTGCCTCTCTGCCTACTTGTGATTTCTGTCTGTCAAATAAATAAATAATCTTAAAAAAAAAAATAGCATATGATGACAGATGGGTGCTACACTTGTGAACAGAGCATAACACAGAATTATTGTATTGCTATATTGTACACCTGAAACACAGTGCCAACCATACTTCAAAAATTTAAAAGGCACTATATTTTCTGAAAGATCTTGAACATGTAGTTATGTTGCTAGTCTTAAACAAAAGTAAATATTCAGATAGCCTCTTTAAGAGGTAAGACACGTAGCCTTAGGGAGAAAGAATTTAAGACTCTGATTGCTGTTCATGACTGGAAAAAAAAGTTCAAGTTAGAAAGTGGAGTTAAATTCAGTATACTGCTTACCCCTGACTATTATGTAAAGTTCTAGATTACATTTTATGACTTTATTATAGCAATATTCAAATGCAGTAATACATTTTGTGACCTCTTAAAAAAAAAAATCAGGAAAGTGATAAGATGTTAGACAACCTGCAAATTTTATCCCAGATTTGGTCACTATAAAAACAACATATTAAAATCAGTCATAACATGCCAAGATGGGGAGAAAACACTTAAATATCTCCTCAGCTTTAATGGAAAATAAAGAGGTTGGGTTAAAATAGACAAAAAATCAAAATAACAGAATAGGGCCAGTCAGGAATCCAAATATATATATAACAGAGTAGTAATTTCAAAGCTAGCATTCTATAAGCTAGCCAGAAGTACCAAAAGGTACTAGATACCACTTATATGACATGATCAAATACGTTACTGTTACAGTCCACAAAGGAAAACAGTAACACCTAGTAAAAACAAAGTAGACATATTTAAGAATGAATGGAATTGCATATTTCACTTTCATTTCCTGAACCACAAAGTATAGTGAGAATAGATAATTAACAAGTTAGTCTCACCTAATATATCTAGTCAATAGGTTTGTATACCTGTCAGTAGGTACAGAATATAAGAAAAGGGTAAATAAATATAAAGAAAAAACTCAAAACCAGTTTGCAAATGTTGGTGTCTACCAGAATTATCTGAGGAGCATTCTATAATACAGTACCAGGGTTCTACCACTGTATCTACAGAACGTCCAGTTGGACCAGCATACCTAAGTGGAAAAAAGCCATTACTCAGGTGAATCAGACATAAAACATACTGAGCCAATCAACAAGAATCACAAAAAACCCCCCCAAACCCCAAAATATTAACTACCCTTCCATTATAATGTAGAAGAAATGTGTGCGGAGCCCATTTTCTTCCTTAGAAACTAGTCACTATGACAAATTTCTTTTTGTTGAAATCCTTATTTTCTGCTTTTAAAACAATACAAAACACACACTTGCACATGTCCTTAGAAAAGTCCAACATAGTTAAACTTCCAGTTTCTTCATGGTTTTCATTGTACTTTTTTTTTTTTTTTTTTTTTAAATTAAGTCTTCACCCAACATGGGGCTTGAACTCATGACCTTGAGGATCAAGAGTTGCAGGCTCTACCAACCAGGCCAACCAGGCGCCCGTACTTGTTTTTAATCTATCACACTGTACACAGAAAACCTAGACAAAAGCAACTTAAATTTCAGTATTCATGTAAAGTTTTCGGTCTTCAACCTTAGAATTTTTTTCAAAATTACATATGATGTAGGGATATACTTTCTTCAGTATTGGGGTACTGAAACAGACTAAATGGGATAGAAAAAAATCAGTTATCAATTATTTTACAAATACCTATTAAACACCTACTGTGTGTCAGGTACTCTTCTAGGCAATAGCATAATTAGAATGTCTAAAATCATTAGACAAAGGATACAGCAGTAAACAAAGTCCCATCCCTTAGGACACTTCTATTCAGCATCATGTACCAATTCTCTCATTCTCTAATAAAGCTATCACAGCAAAAAATAGGAGATCTGACTGATAAGCAACAACTAATCCCCATTTACAATGTATGTCATCAAGTTAGGGCCAAACTACATTTCTATAGTTAGCAAAGTCATAGGAGCAAATAGCTTCAGAGGTGGGTAAGAACTTAGGGGTTTCGTTCCATCATTTTATACCCACAGGAGTTATCTGCTTAAGGTCACAGAGCCAACCAAACAAGGCAGAAAGTAGGGGGCAGGAACCCAAGAGTTTGGTCATTTGTCAAGTTAATATACATTCACAATTATAATTTGTTTCATATACATACATTCTGTGTTCACTGGGACAGGTCAAAATAAAGTGTTTCACAACTTATGCTAACAATCGGGAAAAAAAACCCCATGAAACAACATTTTCAATTTTATATTAGGAAAAAGCTTAATTTTTAAAATTATTTTACTTTCACAAACATGATATAAAATTAAATGCTGCTTTGCTGTTTTTCTCCTTTCCTTCTTTTTACCACCCAGTCACCCCCCTCCTATTAATTATTGATAAGGTAGGAACCAGATAAAACAGAAAAAAAAATGGTAGAACAGTGAAAAGTTGTTGCCATAAGGTCTAAAATCAATAAAATATTTTCAAAAGAAATAGTAACAGTCAATATATATTGAGTGTCACTACATAACAGGAATTGTTCCAAGTATTTTCCTTATAATACCTCTTTTTGTTCCTCCTAATGATCTTATGAAGCTGATGGTCTAATTATTCCCAGCATACAAATGGTGACACTAACACGTAGCAATTAAATATAGCTAATCAGTGGTGAGCTTAGTGAGGAATCCAGACCATCTGGCCTAGACACCACGTTCTAAGTTTTTAATTCCTTTGCTAAAGGCTCAACCTACACATTTGCATTTGGGTAGAACTCTGCATTTCCTAAAGGAAAAGGGTGCCAAGACACCCAACTTACTTAGATACGAAAAATATCTATTCCATTCTTCTGGGCTCTGCTTTGTTTAGTTTTGGGAACACCACTGAGGGCTCTGACATTTGAACTTACCTGTTAAAAAAGTAATTATGGTAAGAAAGATCAATTGGGCTATTTTCGTAACTTTTCTGTGGGTTTTAATTTTCATGGTCAAAATTGCTTTTTAAAATTTCAAAGAAGGGGCGCCTGGGTGGCTCAGTGGGTTGGGCCGCTGCCTTCGGCTCGGGTCATGGTCTCAGGGTCCTGGGATCGAGCCCCGCATCGGGCTCTCTGCTCAGCAGGGAGCCTGCTTCCTCCTCTCTCTGCCTGCCTCTCTGCCTGCTTGTGATCTCTCTGTCGAATAAATAAATAAAATCTTTAAAAAAAAAAAATAAAGCATAACTCTTAAAAAAAAAAATAAAATAAAATAAAATTTCAAAGAAGAGGGGCACGTGGGTGGCTCGGCGGGTTAAAGCTTCTGCCTTCAGCTCAGGTCATGATCCCAGGGTCCTGGGATCGAGCCCCGCGTCGGGATCTCTGCTCAGCGGGGAGCCTGCTTCCCTTCCTCTCTCTGCCTGCCTCTCTGCCTACTTGTGATCTCTCTCTGTCAAATAAATAAATAAAATCTTTAAAAAATTTTTTTTCAAAGAAGATTTAAATAAAGAACATAAGTGAATCCTCAAACAAAAGAAAACACGAAACAAAAAAACCCAGTTCCTATATGGTAAGTGCTGCATGAGAACAGAACAGCACCCTTTGCAAAGGCACTTAATTAACAGTTACAGCAGACACTGCACAAAATAAAATGGAATTACCTTTGGGTTTTTCTAAAAGTCTCTGACATGTTTCTTTGACTTTGGTGAAGAGTTCAGAACCTGCCAACTTCTTAGAAATCCCAACTCTTAGCATAACAGCTGCAGGTGTGAATTTTAACAATGCAGCCCCAGGCTCTCGTGGTTCTTTTGGATGCTTTGGCATAAGACCAGACCAATCCACATCTATCACATCTAATGGATCTGTAAAAAGTTAAGAAAAGGATTTTTTTTTTCCACACCAACAAACATTCTTGTTATCTTTAGAGAAACAAAAATTGCAAAACACAGCATTAAATAAGTGCTTTGAACCAAAATGTCTTATTCTTAAAATGAAAGCTTTCCTATAAAGACAAATATTTAGAATCTAAGGACTTTACAATAAAAAAACCTCACCAAAAGAAAATAGGCAAGCAAACAAAAACCCAAACACATTCCTATAAATAACTCAGGCAGCGGCTATTAATACTGAACACAAATAATCCACCCACTGACAGGAACAACTGTGAAAAATTAACAAAGTAATATTCTATTTAGAAGTACCTAATGGCATATAATAAAAAAGAGGAGATATATAAAAAATACAATCATACATACCTTCTACATTAGTAGGAAAAATTATGAAATATAAAAAATTAAGTCAAAATAAAAGTTTAATATTTTACATACCCAGACACAGCAAAGACCCTCATGATGACTTAAAAAAAAGTTAAAACAATCAGACTAATTGGGATATTCAACAGGAACATCAATGGGTGTTATTTCATGATGTAGTCACTAGAATAAGCTCTGGCAATGCATAAAGTATATTATAAGGGAAAATAATTTGGTTCAGAAAACTGACAGAGGTATACAGATACTGTTCAAATATAATTTCAACGATTGTAAATTTTTGAATGATTGTTTCAAATTTGTCTTGTGAAACCACAATTTTGAAGTTCTGTACCATATGTCTACCACCTAGAACGTTGTTAGGCAATCAGTATTTGGTTAGATTCTAGGTCATGTAATATGAATCTTAACCTGTGGAATGGAATCTTAGAACTTTGCTATTTTAAATGGGACCCTTTCCAATTTATGGGCAATGTCTACTTAAAAATGAGCAGACTATATGGACTATAATTTTCATTTTATTGGCCTTTCAGTCTTAAACATAAAGGGAAAAATTCCAACTGCCTTTCATTAATTCACACAGCATGAAAGGGAACAAAAACTACCTTAAAAATTATCTGACTTATGATATTATGTTCAACCACACTTATAAATGATTACCTGGCATCTTCTCCTCATCCTGTTGGTCTTCCCTCTTTTCAGCATCACCTGCCAGAATTTCATCTAGCTCATCATCGCTGATTGGCTCATATCCTTCTCCAGCACCAGATCCTAATGAATGTGCATCATCTAACTTGGATTCGTCATCTCCTGCTTTGGAAAGATCAATTTCTTGTCAAAGAGCACATCTAAGGGACATCTAAGTGAAACCAAAGAGGAAACACTAAAAATACCTGAAAAGTTTTTTTTCCTTAGAAAACTACATTTCTTAATTATTTAAAATACTTGACAATTCAAAAAGAAAAAACCTGAAATTTAATGGCAAGAACACAGTACTAACAGCAATATCGAAACAAGTTATAAGATTACAATTAAAATATGACGTAAGGTACCACTAACTTATTAATGTTGCTTGCATGTGTCAATTTCTTATAAACTTCAAGTAAATTCAAATTTACTAACTTCAAAAGGATGCAATAATTTCTTTACCTATATAAGCTCATTAACTCAAAAGACTTGCAGACCTGTTCATAGCATTTAGCTGATGATACAAAGATCTTTACAGCAGTGAGGTAAAAATGTAAAAGTGCCATTAATCTTCTCCCTACCTCCCCATTCATCTTCCCTATTCCAACACAATTTTAAAAAGAATGCTGTAGGGGCGCCTGGGTGGCTCAGTGTGTTAAAGCCTCTGCCTTCAGCTCAGGTCATGATCCCAGGGTCCTGGGATCGAGCCCCGCATCAGGCTCTCTGCTCCGCGGGGAGTCTGCTTCCTCCTCTCTCTGCCAGCCTCTCTACCTACTTGTGATCTCTGTCTGTCAAATAAATAAACAAAATCTTAAAAAAAAAAAAAAAAAGAATGCTGTAATATAATTTTAAAATATTTTGTTGGTACCACCGGCATTCATTTTATTTACCTTACTTATCTTTCTCAACCACATAAGCTAAGCTTTGTCACCTAGTGAGTTAGTTGTGAACTTAAAAACTTTCCTAAAACTACAGAGTATGCTTAATATTTCTAATCAGCAGTTACCCACATACTTTACTGAGTTTACAACACTAGTTTTCAAAATGCAACACTATGCTTCACAGGTATAAATTTGCAGCAAATAAAATACAGTAAACTATGAGATATTTCTAGTCATCCCATAATTTTCTATTCTATTAAATTCTTTAATAATCTCCTTATGCCTCCACCAATTTGCTTTTAAGGTAACCAACTTTAATGAGTTCATTATAGAAATATATGTCTAAACATATATGCAAATAACATTTTTATTTTTCCAAGTTTATCCAACTCATTTTCCTACTATAGATGAATAAAATTTTTTATCTCACATTAGGTAATTCACCTATAAATTTTTATGCTATGTTATCTGTGATCATAACCAGTGAATGATATGATGTATCTTAGGGATGAGGGGCACTGACTCCAATCACAAGAGAGCTATTATAATGATTAGTTCAATTATATTCAATTATACCCCGAGGTTGTACCTCCATTAGTGCCATCACGATTTGAGGCTATTTATACTCAAAATTGAGATGGAACTGTAATGTGAAGAACACTGAGATAAAAATGTTTCTGTTAGGGAAAAAAAGTATCTAACAGATGGTGTACTGGAATATATCTAATCAGTTAACCAAGAAATGGTAAAGATGTTTACAGTTCCAAAAGAATATGAATTTTACTCTGGGCCCAATGTTACAATATGGCAAATGAACAGTAAAATATTGCCACTTACATACAAGTATCTCATAATCTCTTGAGGGATTGAAATGGAGAGGTTTTATCAGAACAGTATACGCACTGGTACCAGACTGGACAATCCAAGGAGACAGAAGTTCTAGGAGAATTCCCAGGGGAGTCATTACTATTGTTAAGCCAGCTTATAATTCACCAATGAATAAGATGTGTGGGTATGTATGCACAGGCAGTACATATTTTTATTCATCAACCATTTACTGTGTCCTTGCTACAGTCTTGATGATAAAGAAATGAAAAGTTCTGGGTCCCTAACAAAGGCATACAGTATAGTGGGGGAGAAAACCATAGAAAAATTACTGTAATACAGTGTGGGGATGCTACAAAAGCAATGCAGACCAGGTGCTCTGAAAAACCCCCAGAGCAGAGAAGGCTTCACAGAGGAAATGACACACAGACTGGGAGTTGATGTCGGAGTAAAAGAAGATAAAAGGGCAAATGTCTACCAGACAATGGGAAGAGAGGGGACAAAGATGGCTGGAGTGTAGTGCCTTCAGAGAATTCAGAGGTGTGAGTCAGTCTGTAGTGCAGTCTGGGGCTACAGGAGGAGTAGGGCAGTGGAGAATGATGTTCCCCACCGCTGAGGCTGGTTCTGAGTGGGTCAGATTGGAAATGCAGCTTTGGGGAATACGTACAGTTTCATGTATTTGTTCTCAACTGCCCTGGAAAACAGGATCACTAATAGTTATTTAGTCCATCTCTGAACCAAGAAATAACTTCTGTTTGTGATTTTTTTAAGCATCTAAGAAAAAGAGGTGATAACTATTTTTTTAAATACCTCCAGAAACCACATTTAAGTTTCTTTTATTTCATATAGGCTAATTTGAACCAAGTCTATCCTGACAGTACCAATCAGGGGAATGCATTTTTGAATATCACAGGGCTTTTCCTTATGCATATCAGCAGAACACCTTTTTTTTTTTTTTTAAAGATTTTATTTATTTATTTGACAGAGAAAGAGAGATCACAAGTAGGCAGAGAGGCAGGCAGAGAGGGAAACAGGCTCTCCGCCGAGCAGAGAGCCCGATGCGGCACTCGATCCCAGGACCCTGAGATCATGACCCGAGCCGAAGGCAGCGGCCTAACCCACTGAGCCACCCGGGCACCCAGCAGAACACCTTCTTAAGAAAATATTTTGTTTCCTATATAAATGGAAAAGGAACGGAGCAGGGTAACAGACAAAAACGTGTGGCACTCACCTTCCACACTCTCAGTTCTCTCAGCTTTGTTTATATCTTCAAATCCCTGCACAGATCCTAGATCTTTATCCATTTTTTCCTTATCCGAAGCAAGAGAATCTCGCGAAGTGCCTTCTAGGTCTCTTTCATGTTCACTTTCCAGTTTTACTTCACTGCGTTTAACAGACTCTATTTGGGAAGAACTCTCAAAAGTTCTGTCTCTGTCTCTGTCCCTGTCCCTTTCCACAGAATCAGGAATTAGTCTCTCTCTTTCCCTGTCCAAATCTCTCCTTTTGTCTCGCTCTCTCTCTCGTTCCCGCAATCTATCTCGATCCCTGTTCCGTGGCCAATCTTTATCAGCATCTCGGTCCCATTCTCTCTGTCTTGTATCTCTCCTCTCTCTTTCCCGCTCTCTATCATGCTCATACCGATCACGTTCTTGAAGCCTATCTCTGCTATCAAACGACCCGGATCTTGAATGGACCTGTCGATCCGATTCAGGAGAACTTCTTCTCGAACTATGGCTCCTTGAGTCCTGGCGATCTAAAATAAATATACAAAGAGTTAACATATGAGAAGATAAACCATGCTTCATTGTTGCTACACTTGTGGTGAGCAAAGCTAAGTCAAATCACTGTGTTATATACAACACCTCCAACTAATGCAACATTCTATGTCCACCGTACTTCAAGAGGAAGAAAATGCTTCATATCTTAGGATCTTAATTAAAGCTTACAATTTGATACTTCTCCATTTCCAATTATACACAGAACTCATTTTAAGGAAAAATTGATCTCTCTCCATTAAAGTGCTAATAAAATATGTAAAAGACAAGGAAACACGTTTATTTCCACTATAACCACAAAATATCTTCTAAGAAATATATGTGTAAAATGGGTCAGCATTAACAGAACTGATCACTTCATTATATGATCTCTTCCTATATCCTACCTTATTTTCTGGGGTCAAAAGAAAAAGCACTGGCTGTAGGAAGAAGAGCAGGAAGGTTAAAATTTTAGGCATCAATAAGGGACCTGAATACATAAGCCCTTCCACCAAGATATACTTACTAACATCTTGATGTTAAACTGATGGGCGTCACTCAAAGTATCTCTATTATAACGCTGGTATTAAATGGTAACATTTTGGTGGCATGCTTAAGCTTTTAAGCTCCTTAAACTTTAAGGCACTGTGTATCGTAACCAATTTCGCATTTACTTTATAATCTGCGTAAAATATAAAATTGTATGTAATATACTAAGACAGGAAACACTTGGCTAGATTATAATTCAATTTTATTACCTGAAGAAGTACTTCGACTGGGTTCTCCACGCTTTAACTGATCAATCCTAGATTTTCTCTCTCCTGTGATTTCCAGACTTTTTGTTTTCTCTCTATCTCTTGAGCCACTATGCAGTACTCTCTTTCGACCACTCTGGTCATCTCCACTTCGATGGGCAGAATCATTGGATGGGGAACGGAGACGACTAGACGTATGACTACGATTACTCCGATTGCTCCCAAGGCTGCTACTCCTCTTCTGATCCACTGGCTTGCGATGTGGCGCATCTTCTATAGTGACGTGAGGTGCCTCTACTTTTTCTGCTCGTGTTCTATGGCATTTTCTATGTGAGTCTTCGTTGGCGGTACTGGGTGTGGCAGAGGCGGCAATAGCGGTGGCGGATGCGCTGAAGGTGGTGGCAGCAGATGCGGAGAGAGTAGCAGGGGCAATGGTACTGGCCGCAGTGGCTACAGGAGGAGGAGGAGGAGGAAGAGAAGACGGAGAAGGCGTCCTTCCAGGAGTAGGAGCCCTGGCAGCGTGCTCCGGTTCTGCCCCTTCGGCACGGTCAGGTACATCCTCATCAGACCAGTCACTGAATGCCGTATCTTCTTTTTTCTGAGAATCCTCTAGACTGCCATCCTTACCATTGGAAATTTCCACCAGTTCCTCTCTGGTTGTTATAGGGGGAGTCCGTGGGCCTCTCTTCTTCTTATTCTGCAGTACTGCTTCTTCATCAGAAATATCAGAATCGCCTTTGGATTTTTTACGTTTTTTTTCAATACTTTTCTTCTTCTGTCCTTTTTTTGGTGAAAATACCTGACCATCTTCAGATGCTGTCTCTGCGTTACCCCTCTCTATCCCAACATCATCCTCTTTCTTTTTCTTAATAGGTTTCTTTTGAATTTTTGCTTTTTTCTTGTTCTCATCATGAGCTCGATCAGGTATGTCTCGATCATCAGATAGGTGGTGTCCCATCATGTCTTGTGCACGAGTTCTTGAACTTTCCATAATTTCTGTCTGTTCTCTTTGCTTATCTACAGAAGAAACTTTCTCTTTGAGCTCTTGCTCTTCATAGCGCCTTGAACTCTCTTTTCTTTCTAGTTTACGATCTTCCTCTTTCCATCTACCCTGCCTGTCTTCTGTAAGGTGTGATGGACTGAGAGAACGAGACTCTTGAGGTCGTACAACCTGGCTCAAGAGTCTATGTTTTTCATCTATACAAAAAGATGAAAGTAATCACACTTTCACCAGGTAAACAACATGGCATGTTACACAGAAATAATAATAACCCAACCTCTCACTTTTCATTTTAAAACTTTAAAAGTGGCAATAATTTCACTCACAACAGGGCTTTATTACAAATAGTAGGAGATGACAGTGCAAGTACGATACAGGAACTGCATTTCTAGCATATACTTTAGTCATATGAGATATTCAGAGGCAGCAGAGCAAGAAAAATTTTAAATCTTACTTCATCATTTTCTACTAATGCCAAAGAATGGTCTCATGGTTATAAAAGAAAATGGATATAGAAACACAGAAAATAGATTCTGCTTACTTTTATCATCTCCACTGTTGTACGCATCACTGTCGGGAGAATGCTCTCGCCGGCGCTTAGGTGATTGACGAGGGCTAGGACTTCCTTCATTTCTATAACGTTTCCTAAGTTGAACAAATATAATTTATAAACCTCCAGGGGATAAAAAAGTGATTTTCTTACTAGTATTATGTCTTTACTATAACTAGAATATAAAATTGTGAGGGCAATATTGTCAGAGCTATATCATACAAAAGGTATTCAGCATCTTTAATAAAATTCTTCACTTCGTTTGTTAAGACACACAATTGTGGACTTAAAATACACGGCAATAGGTCTTTCTTCATTAAATCACCAGATTTAATTACTACAAGATGGTAACATACAACAGAGGCATTAATAATATACTAATGCACCCTTGACTAAAACTTACTCATTAATTTTAATTTTTATGATAAAGAAATATTTTATGTTGGGAAGCCAAATGAGAAAATTTAGTATTTGCTTTAGAGTCAAAAAAAGACATGAATTTAAGTTAGTTATATCATACACCCAGTGTCTGTCATGTTGTAGGTATACTGGAAAAATTGGTTCCTTCCCTCTTCTTAGAACAAAAATCACTTGCTTGGTGGCAAGTTAATAAAATAATTCATATGTTCACTATATTTCTAGTCTTTAGGTTAAATATTAAATGACTAGTCATTAATATCTCTGGTACTTAAATTATTCTAGTGTTTTCCTATTTATTCATTAAATTTTGGCCAGTTTTTTATTAACTTTGTTTATAAATACTATGGTTAAAAGTGGCAAAAACACTGCAGTACACCTATCTCCTTGACAGCTCATTTACACAGATGAGTAACCAGGTGGGAAAAGGGAGATTAGTATGACAACTTATAGGCACAGGCTCATACAATTATCTATCTGAAACTCATCATCATTATCTCTCCATTCTTTGAATCTCGGCTGGCCCACTGACTTGCTATGACAAGAGCATTGTGGTGAAAGAACATTGTGTAAGTTTGGAAAGTCAGGACTCAAGAGGCAACCAGACTTCTGCTTTTGCCCTCTGAGTATATGTCCATCATTATATGCAGAGTTTAGACTACTAGAGGATGAAAGGTCATGTGGAGGAGAAAAAGAGATGCCCTAACCTAACAGCCAATACCAAGACATAAGACTGGGGCCATTTTGGGTCATCTAGACCCAGCTGAACTACCAGACTGACTGGAAACATGAGTGATCCCAAGTAAGATCAGCAGAAGCACTCTGCTGAGCCCAGCCAAAAATGTTAATCTATATGATTATGAGCGGGTAAAACTGTTGTTGCTTTAAACTACTAACTTTCTGTGTGGTTTGATACACAGCAAGAGATAACTGATATATGAGAATAAAGTGAATAATTAAAATATACAAAAAAGAACTTTAACTTCAAGGAAATAGCTATAGAAACAAAATTAAGAGTAAAATAAATAGTATGGCAATTCAGCAAATAAAACCTATATAATAGTGATTAAAGAAGTTCTGGGTAAATTCAACTACTGAGATGACAACATAATTTTTTTTAAAGATTTTATTTATTTGACAGACAGAGATCACAAGTAGGCAGAGAGGCAGGCAGAGAGAGAGGGAAACAGGCTCCCAGCTGAGCAGAGAGCTGGATGTGGGGCTCAATCCCAGGATGCTAGGATCATGACCTGAGCTGAAGGCAGAGGCCTTAACCCACTGAGCCACCCAGGCGCCCCTGAGATGACAATATAATTGATAAAAATATCAAGATACTAGTCTCAGATAGCTAGTTATTGTTATAGAACTGTTTGACTCCCAAGTTTCTGGGGTTCTTGTAATGTTTGGATTGTCCAGTGGCAAAGAACCAGAGCAAACTTTTCACTGTAAGTAGAGATCAGAATCACGAAAAAATGAAATCAAAGCACAGGCCTGGATAATAATAGTAAGTAACAAAGATTTCAGAATTTCGATCTTAGCTTAAGGACCTGGTCAGAGAAGAGAAATAATATGTATTGTGTGCCTACATGTTAAGGGTACTAGCTGAATTTAATGTTAATGTAAGATTTTTTTTTTAAAACATGGGGAAAGGGAAGCCAGGGGGTGAACTATAGAAAACCCTGGCTGCAGAATTAAGGGAAGCCAAGATCTAACAGAAGAAGCCTCCACTTCTGTGCTATGTTCTTTGTCTATAACCATAATTTCCAATAGCAATGATGAAAAAAACTTAAAGCAGGGAGCTGTATTCACCATGATTCGAATGAGCTAGAGGCAGAAGCAATGGATATACAAATTATTTGTTTGTTTTAGCAAACTTAAAAAAAAAAAAAAGGGCAGTTAACTCCAACAAAGTTGGCTTTATGTCCATAAAACCTCAAAATTGATGAAGGAGTCCAAAATTCTCATGGCTATGGTGACTGACTTAGCTCCCTTGTCTACTCCTCAATTAATGAGAGCCCCAACATACAGAGAAGGCTGTGAAGATGATAGGCATACACTCAAGCCATCTTAGCCATCATCTGGAGAAAACCTTTCTGAAACTGGAACTCACACAGAAGAAAACAGTGGAGAGATGGAGAGACAGCATTCCTAATACTTTGTTTGAAAGTCTGAATACAGTCACATCAGAACAAATGAACACCGACCATGGACTTCCCAGATACCCGAGCAAATAAATTCCTTTTGTCTAAAAAAAAAAAAAAAAAAAAAGACAAGTGGGAAAAAAGAAAAGAGAAACTGTCCTCAGATATTTGCAATAATAACACCACATCTTATGATCCCAATAACGTAATATAACTCCATAGCTCAAGAGAGGACAACTCCTCTCTCTCATCTTCTAGCCTTGTAGTGGTTGTAGGGCTTCCTTCAGTTTTAAGACACTGTGAATGCTTCCAGGGCTGGGGGTAATGACTCCAGACTTGTAAGTACACAAAACTCATGAAGGATTATTAGGAATAGCATAGGTAATACCTCTTGGTGACTGGTCAACTCCATGAACTAGTTATAAAATGGATATGTTAAGGTGTAGTTTATTGGTTCTATCACTTATAGTTGGATTCCTTAACAAATCTATAGAAGCTGAATAAGCCAATACTCATCAAAAATGGCACAGTAAGTAAGAATGATTAATTATATCCATGGCTACAGAAATAGGATGAGAAAGTGTTTCTTTTCCTAGAAAATTCAAAAGACTAAACACGAAATATATATAATAAAATTAAAATACAGGAAAATGTAGAGAGCAAAAAGAATTATTATAAGGACATTAGGGGTACACTAAAAAGCATTAAATGAAACTTTTTAACTCTTTACTGAAATGTAACTTTAAAAAACTGATTCATTCTCATTCTTACTTTGACTTTCTCTCTTCGTGTCCATCTCTGGGATTCCTGTCTTCTCTGGTATCTTCTCGCTTTTCTCGGCGGTCATCTCGTCCTTTATCTTTGTCTTCCCAATCCCTCTGACGCTCTCGTTCTTTATCCCTTTCTCTTGCTCTCTCTCGTTCCCGCTCTCGCTCTCGTTCCCTCTCCCGCTCTCGCTCTCTCTCTCTCTCCCGTTCTTCTCTCTCTCGCTCCCGCTCTTTTTCCCTATCTCGCTCCCTTTCTCTCTCCCTGTCTCGATCATGGTCACGATCTCGCTCTCTTTCACGGTCCCTCTCCTTTTCTCTTTCTCTCTCCCGCTCCCTAGCACGCTCTCTTTCCAGCTCTCTCTCCTTCTCTCTTTCCCGATCCCGCTCACGCTCCCTCTCCCTCTCCCGTTCTCTGTCTCGCTCTCGCTCCCTCTCTCTTTCTCTGGCCCTTTCATCTCTTCTATCCTCCACTCTGTCTACTCTTCGTTCCTCTCTTCTTTCATCACGCTCAAGCTCGTCATTCCTTCCCTGATGTCGAATTGGTGAGCTTGGTCTTTGATCTACAATGAAAATCAAGTTTTGTCAGTGATTAATTTGACAGATAACCTATTGGTAAGACAATATGGCAAATCTTAAATTTTATCTGTGTATAGGGTCACACTGGCAGCAAATATAAATCAGGTACTATATTTACATTTAAGTTAATCATCCAAATAATCACCCCTAGATGTTTACAAATTTTTTTTCTTAAAGGTAAGTTTTATTTGCCCTCTAACTAACATGTTTTCTGTTCCCCATCAACCCCCCTCCCACCTCCCACTGATCCACCTTTGATCTTTCTCTGCATGCTCCCTACCCTACCTCCAGCCCACTGCTCCAACCCCACTTTCTGCCATCTCTACCCTTCACCTCTGATCTTCTCTGTCCCCCCAGCAGGACCTGAGAACACTGGTGGCAAAGGATAGGGGCAGCAGGAGGTGTAGAACATAGGAGCTGAAGGAAAAAAAAAATTTCCCTCGTAAGTCACACCTCTAATTTCAGGCCAAAATATATACATATCAAAGTGCAGCTATTATGTGAGGAAAATATAGTAGAACAAAACATCTGTCAATAATTGTTGCTGCAATATCAATTTATCATAAACTAGAATATTAAGGGTACTGATGCTTAGCAATCTTGAAGTAATCAAATGTAAAGTGTTTCATACTAGTGATATATATTTATAATAAATTAAAAGTTTTATTTAATCATATAACTCATCACTCAGATGAAGAGCTGTTTTCTTAAAAATGTTAACTGATCATCTCATCACATTTTATATAAATATATTTTTTTCAATACATGAATCCTATAAACACAGCGAAAATGAATACATGCTGCCCAAATGCCCAGCTGAGGAGGAAATTAGTCTGGGACCAGAAAAATGTATAAAAAAGTGGGATTGACTTTTCCACAGAATTAACCATTTTTGAAAATAGTTCACTGTGGTAGGATCTAGGCTACTTATATGAGGTTTCTATTTCCATATTATGTAATAATGTTTATGGGTTAGTCATAAACCCATATTGTATGGGTTACAATATGGTCAATAGCTTTTCAAGTGGAATATCTAATACCAGCTTATTAAAAGCAGAATAACTTAAGGATGTTTCCAGGGAAGGGATCAATCATTATAGTAATTTGAATTTCCTATCTTATCACAGATGAAAAAGGCAAGACTTAATGCATATTTACTCTTTAGAGGTTACTTATCAATACAAAAGTTCATAGAATTTTGAAGCTAAAACAAAACAAAACAAAACAAAACCTTATCTGGCTGTTTCTTAAAAACACAGAAATTATGGTCCAGAAGTTGACTGGCCAAAGCCACAGAGATGGCAGATTTATTAGGACATTGGGACTAGAAGTCAGTTTCTCCTAAACCCTTTTTTATTTTTGCTGAAACCAACTTAAATTTAAAATGGTTCTATTGTTCACTTTTGATTCCCCAAATGCTACATATTTATGGTCTTAGATTGTCTGAGTTCCTGGTTGAGGGGTCATACTAATGTCACGATGATTACAGAACCTGAAATTCAATACTACAGCATGTAGTAATTCATACTTGAAATTTCTGATTATAGTCATGTCAGGGAATAAACTTTTTTACTCACACTTCTTATGACAGATAAAAATTCTATTTTCCCCAACCAAAAAGACAATGTCTCTTACTTCAAAGAAAATGGAGAGGATATAAGAACATCACTTTAATGTGTCTAAACTTTTTTTTCTATCTTTTCCCCAAAATATGTTCTTCAAAGATGCATTTCTCTTCATATTATTTATCTTAATGAATGACATACCCATTCATGAAAGCTGGAGAGCTCTGAGCTATCCATCAATTTCACTCTCAAAATATTTCTTAATCCATTTCCCCTCTCCATCCCTATAGTTAGTATTCTTAACAGATTCTGATCACCTCTTCCTAGATGTCTATGTCATCAACAGTCTAACTGGTTAGTATCATTGTCTTCAGTCCTTCCCCAGACTTACTTATACTTTTTCCATGAAAACTCTATTTTTTCCAACTGCTTTTCCCTGCCTACAAGGCAACCAATCAAAAATTTTTAGCCTGGTTTATCAGACTATTTAGAACCTGGTCTATAGTCTCTCACCAGTCCTTTTTCCCAGTTTCTTTCCTTCCCTACCTGTTATGGCATACCTCTACTCCCAACACCATAACTCATTACTATTCTAAGCATATGTTTCTTTTAGTCCTGCGTGTCAGCACATGCTATCCCTTTTCCCTGCAAAGTGTTCTTCCACTGTTCCTTCTAGCAAACTCTTCACGGAAGCTTTCCTGATCTCAGAACCCTGTCTGCTCCTTTGTCATCTCACAGAACTTTATACAGTAGTAACATTAATCACACTCCAATTGTCTCTCTGTATCCTAATCAGCCTGTTAAGAACTAAAGGGAAGACTGAAATTCCTGAGCACAGAACAAGGTGCTTGCGCACATCCCTACCTTCAACCTCTATCAATCTGCCTATTGCTCACCGTACTCTGGTCACATAGGCCTTCATCCAAACTCTAGGACATAGTATTTCTTATCTCAGAGAATTGGCACATACTCTTCCCTCTGCATGGAGTGTTTTTACCCCCAATCTTCACAATGCTAGATTCTTCTCTTGCATTTATGCTTCTGCATAAATGTCATCTTTCAAATTTTTATACACAGTCTATCTAAAGAAGGTTCCTCTCTTATCCTTTATTTCTATCTGGGCACATTCTTTGTGTCCTTGATTGCACTGAACAGTCATTTCTCTTTTTGGGTGTTTAAGGGGAGGTATCTTCCCTCCCATTAAGTTCTATAAGCACAAGAACTACTGTACTTCAAGAACCTAGCAAAATGCATGAGTACTCAATAAACGAGGAATATACCAGTAACCTCAAATATATAGTTCTGTTTCAATCATACAACTGATATTTATTGAAGTAGTTATAGTAAAGTAAAACAGAAAGAGGACAGAACTTGCAGTCACAAGATCTGAGTTTGAATTCCAGCTCTGGAACTTACTTCTTTGTAACTGGAAAAATCACTATCCTTCTCCTAGCCCAAATCTCGTAAGTTATGAAATGTGAATTCTCTTGTCGTTATACCAACACTCACAGGAATATTATAAAGATAAAAGGATTTTAAAGGATATTTTATATATATATTCCCAGACTTAGTATCTTTTACTATATTAAGTCTGCTAATACATAAAAAGCAACTATCAAAGTTCCCAGAAACTTAATACACATATGGTTGAGAACTAAATACAAGACTGAAACCAAATGTTGCTACTGAATTCAGGAATAAGATGAAAAAGCCTGAGCTAGGATATCCAACTAGGAAAAAAAAAAGAGAGAGAGAGAGAGAGAGAGAGAGAGAGACGAGACATTAAAAAAGCACAGCATTACAAGGATAAAATGTTAGATTAAGGAGAGGTGAATCAGTGTTAGGTAAGATATAATTTCAGGTATCAACACACAACATATAAATTCCAGCCTCATTTGTAACTAAGGAAATTATACGCATCTTTTAACACAAATCCATTAGGCTTACCCTACCAAACTCAACTCAACCAAGTCTAATCTCATCTACACTACTGAAGTACCTGGTGTCTTAGTGACTTCCTTCTCTCATTACTGCCCGTATCAACACACACAATATTACCTTCGTGATTCCGCCCACTATGAAACATCATTATTCAATTTACTACTCAGTCAAGTTTCGTACTATATTAATCTCAGCATTATAGCAAACCTTACTTCAGTAACCAGCCAAAGTTAGTAAGAGCTTCATAAGATCTTAAAGAGTTTAAAGGCCCTAATACAGATAGACCATAAAAGCTTGTTAAAGAAACTGCTTATAAACCCTTTTTAAATGACTTCGAGTAATCCTGCTTCAAAACTGATTTAAGAGAGTATATCTAACAGAGTAGAATCTAATACATTAACCAAAAATGTTTAGTTTAAGATACACAAGAATATAAAATTAGCTAAACTATTGTAAATTCTCAAGAAGGAACATGCATATAAAATGTTTCCTCAGATCACCCCCAACCCTACCATCATCAATTTTTTTTCCCTTTGTTCTTCTGACAGCTCTTATAAGACTCGGTATATTATCAAAGTTAGTGAGTGAGTGGCCAGGATACTCAGGTGGGAAAGCATCTCCTCAATCAGAAATGCCTAGAATGGGCACCCAAGCATCTACGTTCCTTAAAGGGTTGTAAGCTATTTGGTTAAGGTGAGATACATAAAGTAGGGCACGTAGGTTCTTGCAGTATGCAAGTACTTACTACACCTCAGTACCCACCATGCTGCCAAACAGGTCCTTTGGCAGCTAGCTATTTACAAACTCTCTCTTAAACTAAGTAAACAAGGAAGATTACATGAGTAAATATAATAGTTTCAAATGTATCAACAAGCAAAAGTCTTAATGGATGTATTAAAAAGTAAACTAATAAATGGTTTTTAAAAGACAATTCTCCCAAACACTGTTGGCTATTATTGAATAATAAGCGATTTGACAAACCTCTCTCTCTGTTGTCGCGACGGTCTCTCTCTCCATGTCTTCTCTCAAAGGAAGAATCCCTTGCTTGGTCTCTGTTGTCTCTTTCAGGATATCTGTCTCTTTCAGGATAGCTACTCCGAGTTTCCCAGCTGTCATGATAGTTGCTACTACTACTGTGACTATCAATTTGAGAACCTCTTGTGCCTCGACTTCCTAAACAAAGGATATTCACACAAATGTTTAAACACATATACTTTATTACACAAGTTTCATCAGTCACAAACTTTCTTCCCAAAAAACACACAAATAAAGAAGGTGTGTTAGTGTTTCAAAGTATGGTAATCATTGTGGAAAAGAATATTAAATGTTGGATCAGAACACCCAAGTTGTCTAATGATGGGCTTGGGTAAGCTAAGTCCCAGTTTTTTCCTATCAATAAAAAAAGTCTTAATGGAATCATAAAGCAAGAAGACTCATTTCAGTTAACCCAAACCCAACAAAACAAAAAATGAAAACTATCTGTTCATACCTAATTCACAGAAATATCATGAAAATAATGGAAAAGTGGATATATATTATGGCTTTGATTACAATTTATAGCAAAAACATTCCAATACAGAACCAAGGTACTTTGTGGACATTAAGTGGTGCCTGAAAATTTTCATTAAAAAATGTAGGAAATGAATGTTCATAGTAGCTTTATTTGTAAAAGCCAAAACCTGGAAAGTACCCAAATGTCTTTCAATGGTGAATGGTTAAACTGTGGTATCCCCCAACCGGGAAATACTACAAGGAACGAACCATTAATACACGTAACAACCTGGATGAACCTCAAGGAAATTATGCTGAGTGAAAAAGCCAATCTCAACAGGATATATATAGCATGGTTCCATTATGTAACATTTATGGAATAACAATTATAAGATGGAGGACATATTAGTGGTTGCCAGGGGTCAGGGACGAAAGAGGGGATTTGAGTGCAGCTACAAAGGGGTAACACAAGGAGTCCTGTGATACACAGCTGAACCCTGACTGTGGTAATGATAATCCAAATCTACACAGCCACTATTGGAAAATAGTACAGCAGTTTCTCAAAAAAATGAAAAATAGAACCACAAAAGATTCAGTAATACCACTTCTGGGTATATATCCAAAGGAATTGAAATCAGGATCTGGAAGAGAGAGCCCATGTCACAGCAGTATTATTTAAAATAGCCAAGACACGGAGGCAACCCTCTGATGGATAAATGGATAAAGAAAATGTGGTATATACATATAACAGAATATTATTCATCCTTTAAAAAAAAAAAGGAAATCCTGCCATTTGAGACAACATAGCAACATAGATGAACCTGGAGGACATTATGTTGAGTGAGATAAGTCACACACAGAAAGACAAATACTACATGGTGCAACTTATATGTGGAATCTAAAATAGTCAAACTCTTAGAAATAGAGAATAGAACGGTTAACTGCCAAGGCCTGGAAGTAGAAGGAGATGGAGAGGTGTTAGTCAAAGGGTACAAAGTTTCAGTTGTAGAAGATGAATAAGACTTAGAGCTCTATAGTACAGTATAGTACCTACAGTACAGTATAGTACCTACAGTTAATACTACTACCCTGGAAAGTAAAAAATTTGATAAGAGGGTAGATGTTATATTAAGCATTCTCATCACACACATACAAAATAGTACAGAGAGAGCAAGAGGAAACCTGATGGATATGGATATGTTAATGGCATAGATAGTAGTGATGGATTCATGAGCACATACTTATCTCCAAGCTGTATGTGCTTTTTGTATGTCAATCATATCTCAGTGAAGTGGCTTTAAAAAATGCAGAGCTACACACACTCACAATACATAACAGGCTTTGAGCCTTCAAAGAATTAGAGAAGAATTCTAAATACTGTTAACAATGTATTTTAATAGTCAAAATATCTGTATAATTAAAGACCACAAGGAAGAAATTTAAAACATTTTTTTAAAAACTAGAAATGAGCTAAATATAACATCTAGGAACGAGTAAATTAAGTAATAGCTTAGATGCTGCTAAGAGATACTTATGGGGGGAAAAAAAAGAAAGAAAGAAAAGGAAAAAAAAAAGATATATCTGAGGAAATGACCCAGGAAACAAAAGAGAAAGAGAGATGAAAAATCTGAAAGTTAAGAATCAGAGAAGATACAATAAGAAGATTCAACATATGTCTAACCTATGCTGTTTAGAGTCACATTTAAAACAAAAAGATATAGCAAGGCGAAAAGGATGAAAAAAGATACTTATCAAATACAAACCAGAAGAAATGTTAGTAAAATAACCTTCAAAACAAAAAGCACTATTAGCGATAAAGAGGGTCATTCTACAGTGGTAAAAGGAATAATCTGCCTTTATACCTAACAGCAAAGTCTTAAAATACTCAAAGCAAAAATTGATCAAATTACATGAAATCAACAAATTCACAGTAACAGTGGAAGATTTAACTCACTTCTGTAATGTCAGAAAAGGCGGACTAAAAATAATTATAGATTTGAAACCATGGTTAACAAGCTTGACATGAGACACCCTTTGCATACAACTATTAAAAGCACACACAGAACATTTATGTAAATTTCTGAGCCACAGCTTAGAGTCTTGACAAATACAGATGTCAAAGAGTCGACTCTAAAGTCTTCTCTGACAACAATTAAAATTAAGGAAGGGGATTTATTTTAAAAAGTTATGATTGGAAATTTAAAGTCATATTTCTACCTAATTCATGAATCAAGGAAGAAATCATATTAAAACTTACAAAGTGTTTAGAATGGTTACTAATACAATTAGTATTAGTAATACAATTAGTAATTAATTTACAATTAGTAATTAATACAATTAGTAATACAATTAGTACACACATTTCACAACAAAGTAAAACTTAAGAGCAGAAATTAATAGAACAGAAGACATACAAGAGAATATAAACCAAAGATTAGTTATTTGAAAAGACTCAAAACAGACACATCTCTGGCAAGATTGAGCAAGAAAAATAAGGGGATATAGTTATAGATATAAAAGAGATTTAAAAAAGCAAAATTTGGACCATCTTTGTATCAAAAATTTGAAAACAAATTTCCTGGAAAAATATAACACTGCTTTAAGAAAAAAAAATCTATAACTATTACAATAATCCAAATCTATTAACTCTTAATGAGAAAACTCAACTGATAGTAGAAGCTATAACCATCAGAAAAATAGGAAACGCTTAACAGACAAATGTTAAATTGTCAAAGAATAGATAACTAATCATATATAAATTGCTCCAGAGGAAAAAAGAAGCAACACTACCTAACACATTTTGTATGTCTAGTATAACTTTGATGCCCAAGCCAAACAAGAATAACATAAAAAATGAACTACGCAGTGGCATGCAGAATTGGTTCACAGTGGCCTGAAAGAGCAAATTGTGTGCATCTCTTCTCATGTCAGTAGCTGAAAATCTGATATGGCAAGAGTATTTATACCATGAAAACTGGCAAAAGCTAAAAGTTAGGACTTTTTCTGAGGAGTTCGTTGTTAAATATTTACCATTATGCCACTAATCTTATGTAATCTCAATTGAAAACACAGATGTTTCATTCAATATCACAGTTTAACCTAATCTAGAACTTTAAAAAAATGAAAAAAATTCCATTCATCTTAGAAATGCCAGGATAGTTCTAAATTTTTAAAGAAATATATAACATAAGTAGAAAGGTTAAAGAGACCAACTATGACCTTCTCAAGATACAGAAAAAATGGTCATGATACAAGTTGTTAGCTAAGCTGGGGAAATTAGAGGACATCTGTAACACAATAAAAAAAATCTGCTAAAAATCTACAAACATGCTGCTTAATGGTAAAAGGCCAAAAATAACACTTTAAAATCTGAAACAGAGCAAAGAAGCCTATTTTTAAAATGCACTTACAGTCAACACTATATTGATAGATCAGCAGGTTATTGACAGTAAGTAAATAACCAGAAAAGAAGAGCCAAATCTGTTCCCAGACATAAATGTTTAAGAGAATCCAATTAGATCTCCTACAAAAATACAGCGACATAATAATGTAAGATTAATATACAAGTGTCCCAATTATCATTTCCATATACCAACAGTAAGTGGTAGAAAATAAAATACTTTAAAAAGATATTATTTAGTGACACACAGTTATTCACTAAGCACTGTTTAAAAACAGAGACTGGAATAATAGGGGAGGTGCTATAAATTATATGTTGATAGATGTGTATCTATCACATTGTATCACATTGTGATACACATGTGATACACAATGTGATAGATACACATCTATCAATATATAATTTATAGCACCTCCCCTATCTGTGGCTTTGCTTTCTGTGATTTCAGTTACCCAACTGGGGTCAACTGGGGTCCAGAAGCAGATGATCCTCCTCCTGACATATCTTCAGAAGATCAGCAGTAGCCTAATGTTACCTCATAATGCCTACATCATTCACTTTGCCTCATCTCATCACGCAGGCATTTTATCATCTCACTTCATCATAAGAAGGGTAAGTACAGCACTAAATAAGATATTCTGAGAAAGACCACATTCACATAATTTTCACTGTGGTATTTTATCATTGTTTTATTTTATTATTAGTTACTGTTAATTTCTTACTATGCTTAATTTATAAATTAAACTTTATCATAGGTGTGTATGCACAGGAAAAGACCTAGTATATAGAGAGTTCAGTATTATTTGAGGTTTTAGGCATCCACCCAGCATCCTGGAACACAGCCCCTGTGGATAAGGAAGAACTACTGTATTAACTTCAGATTGTTCTAGCTACGTGCAAAAAGGTGTTCGTATTTTGATAGGGACTGCAAAACGAATAATCCAATTATAAAATGGGCAGAAGACATGAACAGACATTTCTCCCAAGAGGACATCCAGATGGCCAACAGACATGAAAAGATGCTCAACATCACTCATCATCAGGGAAATACAAAATCAAAACTATAATGAGTTATCACCTGACACCTATCCAAAAGGCTAAAATTAACAACACAAGAAACAATTGGTGCTGGAAAAGATGTGGAGAAAGGGGAACCCTCCTACACTGTTGTGGTGGGAATGCAAACAGGTGTTTGCATTGTATACTTGGAGAATGGTATAGAGGTTCCTCAAAAAATTAAAAATAGAACTACCCTACAATATAATAATTGCACTACTAGGTATTTACCCAAAGAATACAAAAATACTAATTTGAAGGGATACATGCACCCCTATATTTACAATATAGCACTATCTACATTAGCCAAATTATGGTAATAGCCCAGGTGTCCAATGACTGATGAATGGGCAAAGAAAGTATGGTATACGTACACAATGGAATATTACTCAGCCATAAAAAGAATGAAATCTTGCCATTTGCAGTGACATGGATGGAGCTAGGGAGTATTTTGCTAAGCAAAATAAGTCAGTAAGAGAAAGACAACATATTTTCACTCATATATGGAATTCAAGAAATGAAACAAATGAGTAAAGTTAAAAAAAAAAAAAAAGAGAGAGGCAAAGCAAGAAAGAGACTCTTACCTATACAAAACAAACTGAAGGGTACCAGAGGGGCGGTGGTGGGGGGATGGGTTAAATAGGTATTGGGGATTAAGAAGGGAACTTGTGATGGGCAATGGGTGTTGTATGCACATGCCAAATCACTACACTGTGCATCTGAAACTAAGATTACTCTGTATGTTAACTGGAATTTAAATAAAAGATCTTTTCAGTAATTCCTACAACGGACAATGTGCACCACAAAGAAGGGGATGGAGCTGCTTATCAAGTTCACTGATATGGAATGATCTCCAAGGTATTTTTTTAAGTGAAAACAGCAAGGTATAGAGTAATACACAGTTTAAAAAAATTATGTTTGTAAAACCAGATGGGGATTATGAGTAGACCTATAAACCTGCCTATGCAGAATATTTCTGGGAAGGATACAGACAAAATTGGCAAAGAAATGAATAAGGTCAGGAATAGAGGCAAGGCTTTTCACAATATATTCTTTCATACATTTGAAATTTTAAACCATGTAAATGCATTACTGAAAAGAAAGAAAAAAAATTTTTTAAGTATCACTGACAAGAGCACAAAAAATGTTGGGCACCCAGTAATAAAATACATAAGACCTCAATAGAAAAAGTTATAAATTTATAAATTTAATGCATTTGAAATAAAAATCTAAGTTTTTCATAAAATTAAAAAAAAAAAACCTCATTTTAAAAATGTATATGAAAAAGCAAAGGGCTAAGAAAAGCCAAGACAACTATGAAGGAGAAGGTAAGGAAAGCCTTCAGCTTCATATGGAGTTATAATATTGACCAAGATATACCAAAAGACCAATGGAAATAATGAAATGTTCAGAAATCTGCAGCAGTATTTCAGGGAAGGGCAGAAGAAAGGGGCGAGGAACACATGTCAAAACTAATTCAGTCCAAGCAGTTGGGAGGCAAATACAACATTTAGGTAGTAGGTAGTTACTGGGTATTGGTAAAGGCTTTTTACGGGAAGAATACGTTAATGGTTCAAAATTCTGATGTGCAATTATCTGAAGTGGTTTGAAGAAAGCACAAGTATACTGAGGAATACACAGTCATTTCTGATACCACCAATTTTGAAAGCCCACCATTTTAATTCCACTTTAATAATCATTTTATCATATCTGTACCTGTTTAGTAGAAATCATTTCCTTTTGACTCTACTTTTTTGCCTGACAGGAATTTTCTTAGTGTTCCACACTAATCAAGAGGGTAGGCATAATTGGATATAATTTACCAGGGGATTTTAATCAGGACCCATTTATCTTCTGCTACTTTAGCAAATTCCTAAATCCTAGGAATTTAACAATTCTTATTTGGAATTTACAGGGAAGGCCAAAATTCAACTAATTGAAAATTACTTTGACAAAATGATGATAATGAATGTAAAAGAGAATATATTTAGAAAAGAAACCTTAAAAGATTTAATAATTTCTATGTAAGCATACAAGATACAGTTCACTGACAAGTCAAAAACCTTACCCTTTTCAGGTAATTCTGGACCTCTCCCCCTACTTCTGCCCATCCGGTCATTCCTAATTTCACTTCGAGACTCATTTCTCGCATCATTCCTTATTTCAGTTCGAGAACTTTCTTCTCTCAAATGGTTTCTGCCATAACTTCGGGATTCTTCTTGATAGGCATCCTCCTTTCGATGAGTATCTCGACTTTCACGGTCCCTGTAGTCATGGGTATCACGAGCAGACCGAGAATCTCTGGGGTCACGGCTCTCTTTGTTATCTCTGCTATAATCTCTCATCTCCCTGGAGTCCCGAATGTCTCTGGAGTCCCTTAGTTCCCGTCGGTCTCTAGTATCTCTGGCATCTCTTCGATCCCGACCATCTCGAGGTTCTCTGTCATCTCTGTGGTCTCTAGAAGAGCTCTGATCTTGTTCATACTCTCGTTCTTCTCTTGTGTCCTTTTCTCTATCCCTTTTGCTTCTTGTCTCTGTAATGCAAGTTTGGAAATCAACTAGAATTCCTTTAACAAAATTTTGAGAAACCAGACAATACATGTACGTATAGAGCTAAAAAATTTTTTAAAATGGTAATTCACGTTCTTTGCAGAAAATAAAAAAAGAAAACGTGGGCAAATAAAATTAAAACCACACATAAACTACAATTCCAAAGGTAATTTTATTAACACTTGAATATGTTCTTGATTAGATAAACTTTGATTAGGATCTTCCCATACCCCAACTTATCCATACTTACCTTAAACAAATGAAACAAATAAATTGATCTCGTATCACTGATGGTTTATTTTTTAGAAATTACTTGTAGATCTAGAGGTACACAGTGACTTTAGCCATCTCTACCAAGGAAGGGGCCAAACTAGACTATCCGTGACTACTTCAAGTGTACTTAAAGTACTTAAGAGCGGCCTATAGTTAGTAAGCTGGCTGGCAAAGAGATGTTGCTACTCATCCTCTCTTTTGCTACTCACCCTCTCTTTTTCTTGAACTGTTTACTGAATCACTCCTGTCTCTAAAGTTTTCTCTCATTAAAGCATTTTCTAACGCTTCACAGAAAAATAAGGAACTTCAGTTTTAAAAAAGCTGAAACAAAACTCACTGATTATTTAATTCAACCTTGTCACCATCTAAATGAAGAAATTAAGAGGCCCAGAGCCTAAATGGCTTAGGCAACCCTATACCTAATGGAATTTGCAAAGAACATAAACTATTCTTTAGATATGCCTAGAACAGGCAGAAATTGATCACAACATAAATCTGATATGAAGTCAAAGGACTAACAAGAGAACATTAGAAAACAAACATTGCCTTGTTTTTAAGTCAGATTCCCTTATGTGCTGCTCTCACATTCTGGAACTACTTCAAGATCTGAGGCTATTTTAGCAGTTATAGCAGCTCTATGCCTAAGAGCCGTATGAGTATTGTCAACTTACCTTCTTTTCTCTTTGTCCCAGGTGGCTAGGTCTACAGACTTTCTTAAGCACCCAAACAGTATCCACAAGACACCCTAGATTTTCACATTAATAACTCATCTCTCCTGCCAATTACATCGTCCATATGCTTACATTCACAAATGCCCTTTAAGAACAGAAGCAGTAGGCAAGGACTGGATAGGTTTCCATCGTTTTGGTGCAATTTATGACTTCTAGTCCTCCTCCAATGCCAACTGGGCCTAAAAATATGTTCACTCAGTACCAGATCCTTTTCATGATTCCATCTGTCTTTTCAAATCTAGTTACTAAATTCTGTTCTTTACCTACCTCCCCATTCTTCCACTAAAATTATTCTTATTTCAGAAGATGACATCTAAATAGAGGAACAAACTGCTACATATCTTGTATGGAAGGTGAAAGAAACATCTTTACAAAGAAACTAAACACATATGGTTTATTATTAAATGGATTCTTCCTGTAACATGGGCCACTCTTAGCACACACATAAAAAATTCTTTTAAGACTCAACCACATACTATTTCGCCTCATTATTATTTCAAAACAGATATCAAACACACTAAAGAGTTTTCATTCAATAAGTACTCATTTAATGTACACTGTATTCCCAGTCAACTCCAGTTAAAGATCTTATTAAAATTAATTCACAGGTGCTAAGAGAGTTTTCCTATCTTACCAATGTTCCATAAATATTGCTGTGCTGTTCTGGTTCCAAAATGATATACATAAGAAATAATTCTATACAACAAAAACTCTCTCTGATCCCTACCTGGATGTACATCATTTTGTTGAATAAAACAACTTGATTAATTACTGCACTGCTGATAGGAAGAGAACAACTAAATTCAACATGTTTCACAGAAGACTGCTGTAATATACTCTCAGAGGTTTATTTTAAAATGCACATTAAAGGGAAATGTTGCAAGTAAGCAATATTTCCTGAGTACTCATTATGTTTAAACACCAACTCAGAAGTTAGGGGAAAAACCTTTAAATATATAAAGTCAAGAAGCTTAGATAAGGAGTACAGAAAGAGATCAGAACTATTAGACTGTATTGCCAGATAATAGCACCTCAGCTTTAACAAGGAGCAGCAAATCCAAAGTTAACTTAATTCTCAGGGATCTAGAAAGGGAAATTGCTTTGCTAATTTCTTTTTGAATTTCACCTAGAAAACTGATCACTTGGCTTACACCGACCTTCTCAATATTCCTCCAGCCCTTACCTCTTTATCAAAACATAGGCGATGCTTTCAAACTATGCCCCCTGGTTTGCTGCTTTTCTTCCCTTCACTTTTCTGTTTTTTTAAAGAACCAATTAAGCAATTAGAGGGATATTTTAAGAATCAGACAGCCAAAAATTTCTAGAACTTGAGAGTACCCAAGTAAAACATCTTAGAAAGCACTACCTCAGTATACATAAAAACGCCCACTTATGTACATTTAATAGTTTATATGTTCCTGTGTCATTAAAAGCACCTCCTACTGCCTTCAAGCACTCTGCTCTGTTAAAGACTTAATATAACACGGTTTTCTTCTTCTCCTTACTGTAACAATAAATCTGAATGTCCAGTTCTTTAACAAAGAAAATATTTAACGCTAAAAAAAAAATCAAGGTAAAATACAGTGCATACCTTCTCTTCTTTCATGACGCCGATCATGAGACTGTGAAGTTCGTTCATGGTCATGCCTCCCTTTCTCTCGCATCGGAGAGCGATGTCTTGGGGGACTCTGCTTTCTCTGAGGAGAAGACAGAGAATGTGAAGGATAAGGAGACGCAGAGCGTCGTAAAGGTGGAGTTATTGTCCTCTGATAAGATGGTGAAGGAGATCTTTTTCGACGAGGAGAAGGAGAATGTCTTTGAATAGATGATCCTGATTGTGAGGAAGATGAGTGATGTCTAGAAGATATAGGAGAGTGATGCTGTCCTACTGGGGAAGTAGACCTGTAAAGAAAAGCAACAATAAAAAAAGCTGAATGCTAAAGTTAAAGCTAAAAGTGTGAATCATAATTCCAGGATAAATTTCAATTCACAATGCTGTATAGTAAGAAGCTAATTTTTAAAGATCTGGTTGATTTTAGGTCAGCCTGAGACCACAGTCCTAGATGAGATATGTACTGCCTTGCTCCCAAGCTTGGGCTCCAAGCAGCACTCTTCCTGAACACAAATAGAATATTATCCTCACTTAAAGTATGGAATTCACTCTTAATCAGAGATAATCTCTGACCTTGTGAATAGGTACTTGGAGGAAGGAAACCGCAAGAGGCTAAAGAGGAAACATACTAGTAAGATCTAGATAGAAAGTGGCTGTGGGAGTGCCTATAACTCAAGGCTGTGGGGAAAGGGAAGTCATCATCAATTAAGAAGCCAAACCTGAAGTCTGCCCTGCTTGGGGTGAGATTCAGGATGGGGAAAGAATGATACGGTTAAGGACATACTGTCTACACTGTCTTTATCTTAAATAACCAGCCTTCACTCTTGGCCAGGCCAGTGCAGTCCTGGTTTAACAAAGGCTTCCTCTACTCCCTTCCAATCACCTTCTTTCACTGCTGCCAAAGAAACAACTTATAACCACACAAAGCACAATGGAGTCTCTCCTACAATATGTTAAATCCTAGGTCCTGGTTTACACTGGTTATGCAAAATGTGTGTGTGATAGGAAGCTGGAATACACACATTTGTGCAATAACTAAAAAGAAATGGGACCAGAAAGAATGTTAAAAAATAACATTCCGGACACCACATACCCAGATTAGTATCCTAGTCCTCATTCTGAAGATTAGATATTTGTTCAAAAATGTTCTGGAGTCCTAGTCAAAATATTTTAGAATACCTTCAGTGCCTATGGTATTTTTAATATCCACAATGGTAGCAAAGTCATTATTAATCCTACAGCAGGGTTTCTCAGTCTTGGCGGTCCTGACACTTTGTGTTCAGTGATTGTAGTGGGGGGCTGTACTGTACATCACAGGGAGATCAGCAGCATCCCTGGCTTCTACCCACCAGAAGCCAGTCTCATGCTCCCTCTCAACCCCGTTCGTAACAATAAAAAATTACTCCAGACACTGCCAAATTTCCCCAGGAAAGCAAAAATCACCCCTTGTTAAGCACTGCTGGCCTGAACTATGTTCTTTATAAATGATGCCTCAGTAGACCTTTTATCAATACAAGTACCAAATACATAAAATATATGTTGCTCATTCAGGGAAGTGATTCCAATATATTGAAAAGAATTTGCAGAACAGGGATTTTAGCAAATAAACAAAAACATCTTTTGGATAACAGTTGACTAAAAGAAGTCACCTAATCAGAACATCATATTCACCTAAACATTGTAGTTATTAGTAATTTCACTAAACCTTCACACTTCTCATAAAAATTTCCTTTTCATTAAAAAAAAATAAGCCATGGGACACCTGGATGGCTCAGTTGGTTAAGTGGCTGCCTTCGGCTCAGGTCATGATCCCAGCATCCTGGGATCGAGTCCCACATCGGGCTCCTTGCTTGGCAGGGAGCCTGCTTCTCCCTCTGCCTCTGCCTGTCACTCTGTCTGCCTGTGCTTGCTCTCACTTCTCTATGACAAATAAACAAATAAAATCTTTAAAAAAAAAAAAAAAAAAAGCCATAAGCCACTATAATTTAACTCACTCTTAAGAGAAATGTATTTACTTATAGGTAGGAATAGAAATGCTCATAGGGTGTTACCCAAATTTGGAAAACTAGCTATGATCAATGGTCATTCAAATGCATCTTACCGAAAAGAAAAATACTGCAAGATTGAGAATTAGAATTATTACTGTTTGGTATGTTCCAACTGCAATGTCATCAGGTTCTAGACAATTTGGAAATCTGTAAATTGATTTAAAAATGTGGCTTTCCACTGAACTGGCATTTTGGTTAGTTTTATTTATTGTGCATACTAAAAACTGCTTCAAGAAAGTCTGCAGTACCATTTGGTGATTAGTTCATGGAACCTAAAAAATAAAATAGCTCATATTACTATCTTTAAAAAACACAATACAGTCCAATCACATTTCTATTCAAATTCAGTGTCGATAGCATGGAGTAAAAAATTCAATTCAAGCTTAGGATGATCAACCTATCAAATTAAGGTCAGAGGACCAATCCATTGTTAAGTTATGGTTTCAGCATTTTTTCTTCTTACCCATCCTTCAAGAAAAATAAAATTAAGAAAACTTGGTTTAAATTAAAAACATCTGTTATGGACTGAATGTGTCCCCCTAAATTTATACAACCTCCCAATGTGATAGTATTTGAAGGTGGAGGCATTTGGGAGTAATTGGTTTAGATGAGGTCCTGTGGGTGGAGCTCCCATGAGATCATATCCTTACAAGAACGAAGAGACCAGAGCTCATTCTCTCCTGTCCATGCCAGGACACAGTGAGAAGACAACTGTTTGTAAACCAGAAACCAAATCTGCTGGAACTCTGACCTTGGACTTTCCAGCCTCTATAGCTGTGAGAACTCAATGTCTGTTGTTTAAACCACTCCAGTATATGGTATTTTATATCAGCAGCCCAAGTTGGCCAAGACAGCATCTTTATTTTCCTGTTATTATTCTTTTAAAAGTCTGATGACTAAAGAATAGTGAAAAGAGAGGATCTGTTACCAAAACAAGATGGGTCAGATTACGGATGTCAGTGTAAAACGGACCTGGGCCTGTGTTCATTCTATACATAAGAAGGTAGAAAATAAAACTGCCTTGAAATCTGACCAAAATTATTAGTACTTTGGCTTTTACACTATTGCAGAGGTATATTAAAATACATTTCCATTTAGAATAGCAGTAATTTTAGATTCTTCTTAGGCTTTAGAATTGGCTGGTTTCTTGTCTGAGGAGAAAAAAGAGGTGACATTTGACATTCAAATTAAGAAAAGAGTTTATCATTGCATGAAGAGAGCTCAATACCTTAAAGAAGAAATCTGTATACTGTCAGCAAGAGCACTGTGATTTATAGCACAGGGAAAGCCAATCTTTAGCCTGACTTGATACTAAACAGAAGTTTTTTAATGCTACTATAATTAGGACAAAATGTGCAATGAGAATATTCAGGGTATATTTCATTTGGGAAACATGTGAAAGGTTAAAAAATTTAAAAAGAAAACTTGCCTCACTCAAGATACATAAATTTCATCTACAACCAAGCTTGCTTACCCTAGACTTTTAAAAAATTACTAATACCATTTTTTCTTTTAGTAAATGGTTTCTTTTTCTCAAATGAAAATATGCCATCATAATGTAACTAACTAACATTTATAAGTCACCTTTTAAAATCATCATGAGGGACGCCTGGGTGGCTGAGTTGGTTAAGCGGCTGCCTTCTGCTCAGGTCATGATCCCAGGGTCCTGGGATCGAGTCCCGCGTCAGGCTCCTTGCTCCGCAGGGAGCCTGCTTCTCCCTCTACCACTCTGTCTGCCTGTGCTCACTCTCTCTCTCTCTGACAAATAAATAAATAAAATCTTAAAAAAAAAAATAAAATAAAATCATCATGAAAAGTATACTTAAAAAAAAAAAGGACTATGGGCAATATCAAAATCAACTTTTTCCAGTGGTAAAATGCAACACCGTATGATACAGATTTCACACACAGAAATATTTTGGCTTTATTATTTTACATAAGAAACATATCCTAAATAAAAAAGTGAGTCATTTTAATTTATTGAGCTAATATTAAGTGAGCATCTTCTATACTGCAAGCATTATTTTTGGCACTGAGAATACAGAAGTAAAAAAGACAGGCAACCTGGGGCTAATAAAACATTATATGTTAAAAAAAAAAAGACAGGCAAAACCACTAACATCATCATCATCATCATCATCATAATACCAATAACAGTAGCAGGTAACACATATATTGTTATTACATCCATACCATTGTTTTAAGGACTGAAAACCAGTCTGTCATGGACTACGAGTAGACCACCACCAGGAAAGCAAAGCAATTTCAGTTAGTTAATGCAACAAAGTCTGTAAAAACAGGGTAATAAAATAGAAACTATTAGGTTCCCTCCCTCAAAAAAAGTCAGGGGACAACTTTAGGATGGTTCAAAGGAAAGGGCCTTATTGAGAAGATGGAATTTGAGCCAAGAGCTGACAATCCAGGGAAAGAACATGCCTTGCAGAGGGTTCAGCAACCACAAGAGGCAGGAGGAATCACAATATATGAGAAGAACATTAAGACGACAAGGGTAATTACAATTTGTAAGTGAAGAGTTACATGAGAGAAGGCCAGATGATATGAAGTCATCTATGTGATGGTGAAAGCCGGACTGTACTTTTTTTTTCCCCTAGATTTTATTATAAGCATGAAGAAAATCACTATGAAGAAAATCACTAGAGATTTTTAGGCATGGAAGTGTCATTCAAAATCTAGCAAGATCTCAAAAAATAAAAATTATTATGATCATCTCAACAGATACAGAAAAAGCACTGACAAAACTCAACATCCATTTATGATAAAAATTCTCAACGAAGTGGCTTTAGAAGTAACATACCTCAACATAATAAAAGTCACACACAACAAACCCACAATTAACATACCCAGTGGTGAAAAACAGAGCTTTTACTCTAAGATTAGGAACAAGACAAGGATGTCTACTTTCATCACTATTATTCAACACAGTACTGGACGTCCTAGCTGCAGCAGTCAGATAAGAAAAAGAAATTAAAGGCCTTAAGAAACCTCCAAACTCATTTTATGAGGCCAGCATCACCTTGATCCCAAAATCAGACAAAGCCCCATCAAAAAGGAGAATTACAAACCAATACCCTGATGAATATGGATGCAAAAATTCTCACCAAAATACTAGTCAATGCGATTCAATAGTACATTAAAAGGATTATTCACCATGACCAAGTGAGATTTATTCCTGGGCTGCAAGCGTGGTTCAACATCTGCAAATCAATCAATGTGATCCAACA